TAAATAAAATAAAATAAAAATTAAGAAAATTAAAAAATCACAGAAACTTGTCACCTGACCGGCCATTTCATCTAACTCACTATTATATCGCTCACTCATACCATAATTCATCCCAAATAAAACAAGAAGAAAGAAGAAACCAAAATACCAAGAACAAGAAGAACACAAGAAAAAGAAGAAACAAGAACATCAGATTAGTTGTGGAAAGAAAGAAGACCAAGAATAGAAGAAGATACCTCAAGAGGAAGAAAGAAGACATCAGCTCCAGCCGAAATAGCCTAAAGGCGAAGTGGCCAGCAATCCCCAAGCCTAACTAACCGGGGAACTCATTCTACGCTCGGCTACCGGACCAGCAACATCTCTCAACAGTCCTCACCACCCAGCTTCCTCAGAAACCTCCTCGCCCTACAGTGTCATGATCGTGATGACGGCTAACATGAAAACCTTAAGGATTCATATTACGCTCAAACGTCCACAAAACCTTCCGAGTCCCCCAGTGGAAACGTCCCCCGTTTTCTCTGTTTCCTTGATGACGTCATCGATAGGCCATCTTTGTCTGAAGGGAACTTTGAATATAATCCGCGGATTTCGTAGCAAGACGCTGTATGTTGGGACCTGTTGCCATCCAACCCTTTGTAATCAATTTAATTTTGCTTTTGATAGCTCAGTCAGAGCATTGTTAGTGAGGATAATAGTAGGGAATGAAACTGAGTTCATAGTCTCAGTTTCAACGTCAGAGTGTACAGTAAATTAATTCATCGAAATAGAAGTAGGTGGACTCCCTGGCCTATTTTGAGTGAGGGTGCCGGGGGCATTTCAACGGTTAGCAAGTGCTCGCCCTTCACCCATACAGGTAGGCCATTCCACTCTGTGTTGTAATTCGCCCTTCTTTAAGTGATTTGACCCAATTAATAGTTGATTGTGCAAGTGTTACAGTAACGTAGTTGATATGTTCTGAGTGAAGTCATATTTACGTCTTTAACGTCCCCTGAAATGTGATGTCGTTGTCACTGTTAGTAAGTGCTCGCCCCTTCACCCATACAGGTCCCTAACGCAGCCTAGGCCGTGTCTGTAGCGTGGATGTTGTATCCACTATGTCTGGGGAGATGTCCGAGGTCCAATAGGATCAGTTACCTTCGTGAGACCCGGCCGTCAGACACTTCAGACTACCTATGGCCCCCATAGCTGGCTCGTCTGGCCCTAACGCTCGGCCTGCGAGGTGACCCCGGATCACCAAGCCACACACCACTACCAGCTCCCATCATTGGTGGATGAGTGCCTAACTCAGTAGGGCTATTTGTGTGGTGGGGTTAATCCACTGGGATCTTCAGAGTTCGTCGGAAAGTACCCCATGGTGGCAGGACCCCATGGCGGTTGCTTGAGTATCACTCCTGACGACGGAGTGTTGTAGTGGCAGTTGCCCCTGGTCTTTATGGTGCTAAGTGACTATAAGAGTTATGTGATTGAGTATGTCCCCCCAGTAGGGTTGGAAGTGTTATTGAGTATGTCCCCCCAGTAGGGTTGGGAGTGTTATTGAGTATGTCCACCCAGTAGTGGTGTGAGTATGTTGAGCCTGAGGGCATAGTACCAGATTTCGTCTGTTGGTACAAATATATTCTTTCTCCTACATCCATATTAATGTTTAAATAAATTTTGTATTTGTATATTGTGTCTATTATTTACCTACAGTATTTACCGTTATTTCTTCCCTATTACTTGTTACTATCATTACATGTACCCACGAGCCTCCTCTCGTCACGCTACCAATGGTAATAAGTATGAGAGTAAAAGGAATTGCTACTAACACACAGGCCCTTATAAAATGGTGGCAGCTCAGGCCCTCCTAACAGGATCTCTGAGCAAACTACTCATCACCTAGTAACTCCTAAGCACTGCACTGTACAACAATATATATACAGAAAGCGCATTGTGAGTTTCTATTCTACCTCATTCCTGAGTGTGAGATATCTACATGTACGTACGTTTGTGTGCCCATACAAAGAGAAAATAGACAACTGAAGAGAATTGACAACTGGCCACATACAGTACACTACAATGTGTTCGACAGCTGGTGCCGGGAGGTCGAGTTAAGTATTTATTTAATTATTTATCTATCTGTCCTTTAGAGTGAGTTTTTGTTTTTCTCTTATAAAATGTCAGTGAACTGACCTGGGAGAATACAACCTACATTGCTGGGAACTAGCCAACGGAAATTCCTTGCTATGAATTGTTCAGAAAGACGACAAGACGACAAATTCTTAGAGTGATTCCATCTGGATTAGGTAATGTCCAGGACGTGTCTGACACATGTATAAAATCAAGAAGCAGGATAAATGACTATCGTTACCTCCGAAAAATGTCAAATTCCCCCCTTGGGGGTAATTTACCCCTAATTAGGAACCAGTGGGGTAAGGTAAGTTATGATAGGGCCGTTTATGTTAGGTTAAGTTTGTCTAAGTTAGCTAAAGTTTGTATTGGCTAGGTTAGGTAGTTTTATGAATCTTTAATGTTTTGAGGTTAGGTTGATATTCTCTTAACATACTTATGACTTTACTTATGGTTGTCTATTCTGGTGGCCTCTCTACCAGGTGGATCTTTGCACACGTGGTCTCAAATTCCCTCTGAAGACCTTCGGTGACTTGGGTCCATCCATTCTGTTTCACTAACATTTGGTCCACAATCGCTGCTGCTCCTCTATCACCAGTATTGTACTACATTGGCAGTTAAGATTCTTTGGCCTCTTGCCTTTCATAGGATGTAATAAACTGCCCAAAATAAAAACTCCCGTGCCTGTGTGGCCCAAATCTGAAATCTGAATCTGGAGTTAATCCCTGACCAGTAATGTACGTGTGTCTTCATGCTTCTCGTAAATCCATCTTGCTTTGGTTGAGGTCCGAGTGAATCTTGGTGGAAAGAGGATTCGGAGACCCTTACTGCAGGCACACATGATCAAAAATGTATCTTTACAGAGCGCTCCGTTGAATTTAAAATGAGCACTGCAACTCGTGCTGTCTGTAGGGTTGTCAAAATCCTTCTTCTGTTATGTCATGTTGTCAAACAAAATCATAAAGCATTTTTTGGAGTGCATGAACACATAATGAGTAATTACAGTAAGCTTCACTGATCCACCCGACAAAAGTCTGCTGCAACTGTCCACTGTCCACGATACAAATATGTAAATCAGTTGTTATTCAGCTTCTAAGGAAAATCTATTTGCAGTTTTAGGGTGTGAGAGATAGTGCCTGAGTCATCTACATATAGTACTTTATTTCATACAAGAGAGAGAGGGAGGTTAAAACTGTCTACAACATTATATCACAAACCAGCCATAAATCAGCTGTAAATCAACCATAGACCAGCTGTAAACTAGCCCCTTATCTTCCAGTGAAGAGAATGCAACAGCATGTACACAGTTCATATAACAGAACACATTACAGCTGCTTGAGTTACAGCCACACATCCTCTTACAATGGTCATTTTGTAAATATTACAGTAGACTAGTCTTGCCAGGACATATTTCATCATACAGGGAAATTGACAAGTATATATACAACCATATTTTTACACTTTTTATCCTGATGGAATAATGGAGGGTTTGGCAACGTCTCGAAGCTTTCAGAGGAGAGGGTGTGGGGGCAGCAAGGGGGGTCATAGTGCTAGAACACTACCATACACACACAGATGTACACACAAGGTCATAGTGCCAGCACATGGCTGTACACACAGATGTACGTACATACAATGAAGGGAATTCAACTAACATGCTTGCCAAGACAGCCAGGATTATTTCAACATGCACTTGTCTGTGGTACTGTACAAAAGTGTCTGTTGTACGAAGTGCCTGTGTTTGGTACAAGGTGTCTGTGGTACAAGTTACCTGTGGTACACTAATGTTCTCAGTTTAACTATGGATAATTATCATGCATGTGATAAATTATTACACAATTTACTCACAACAAAGAGCAGAAAGTATTAAGTATTCTCTCCAGGGTGTTGACATTCACTTGTCATTAAACATAATACTCCCAGGGACATAAGTGGTGTACACTGAACATACTCATAGTGGAAAAAGTGCACACCTACAAGTCTCACTTCTGATACAAAACTTCCAAAAGTTATAACAAAAGGAATTTAAGATAAAGTGCAAAATGTTCAATAACAGCATTTTGGTGGTTGGGTGAAGATAGTGGTATGCCACGGGTAGTAGTGATGGCTCAGGGAATGTGCACACACATGTATACAAAATGTGTGTACAACAGACATATGTATGCAACACAAGTGTACAACACACAAACACATGTATACAACACACCCATAGTGTATACAACTTACACATATACTGTATATAACACACATGCAGATCTAAAAGATCTAAGGAGATACACACACACACACACACACACACAAGATATAGATAGACAGATACATATAGACACTTCTACAAGAGATACACACACATACACACTTCTACAAGAGATACACACACATACACACTTCTACAAGAGATACACACACATACACACTTCTACAAGAGATACACACACATACACACTTCTACAAGAGATACACACACATACACACTTCTACAAGAGATACACACACATACACACTTCTACAAGAGATACACACACATACACACTTCTACAAGAGATACACACACATACACACTTCTACAAGAGATACACACACATACACACTTCTACAAGAGATACACACACATACACACTTCTACAAGAGATACACACACATACACACTTCTACAAGAGATACACACACATACACACTTCTACAAGAGATACACACACATACACACTTCTACAAGAGATACACACACATACAGTATGTTTACAAGAGGGAGACACACACACACACCCACTGAGCCAGTTCACTGCTCTGCGAGTCACTAACAGTCAGTTAGATGCCAACTGATATTATTTGGTATTATCAGCATGACATAAGAGGAGGAGGAGGAGGTGCGGACACTCTAGTGATGGAATGAATCTGTCTCTGAGGAATTTATTATCTACAAATGTCACATTTTATGAGAGAACATTTTCTTGGTACAGTTTATCTTATTCCACAAACATTGATACATTGTTCTACAACGACACCAACTTAACCTTTCAAAGCTACAGTATTAAATTGTTGACAAGAAAAAATAATAAATTTACTTCAGATTCTGGGGGTAGACTTTGTTAAAATAAACTTGTGTTTGAGAAAGTAATATTGTGTTCAAGGCCAATATAATATTGATATTAAGAGGAAGAAGGCAGACAATTGTTGTCTCGCTATTACTGAACAACACCAAGCGTATTTATGTCACCGTCAAAGTATTGAGACGACGACACAATTTTCAGTGTCTTGGTGAGACAACGAGCCGCGGGGTCAACTTATGTGGCATGAAGACGACTTTCTGACGGGGTCTGACTTGCCCGCCGCCGCACAAAACTGTAAAGATATATTAAATACTCGCGTCATCTCTACCCCCAAAAAGTGATCTTATATTTCTCTTCATGTTGTGACACTATAAGCATGTGCTATTTATTATATGGACTACAAGAATGAAGCTATTAGTTTCATGAAAGGTATTAGGATAAAATATATGAATGCAAGATTTTGCAGAAGCAACATTGCAGACGTTAGCGAGAATAAGCTGGAGCACTGTATGCTTACCTCTTTGGTCTTGTCTTTGTCGCACTTGAGCTCTTTGCTTGTTTTAGCAGAAACTTGTTTGGCCTGAGGCACGTCAGGGCGGGCGGCCTCTATTTTACCGACCTCTTTTTTATCTGGATCATACAACAAAGCGGTGTTAGTAGAAGGCTTGTTTACTGCATTAGTATATTTGCTTTCTGCACTATGTTCAGCATCTTTGTCAATTTGGCCTTGCACTTTACGTTCCCTTTTCCGTGGAGGAAGAAGGAATGAGTGGTGAGCAGAGCTAATATCACTACTATTAGTGCATGCCTGAGCTGCTACTGTTGCGGCGGGGTGAGTGACCTGCGACGACACGGGCGGGGAAGCCTCACATGCAACCTGTTTTTGTGGAGGTTCTTTAGTGAACATGTTTATATCACCACGACTCTCTGACTGACTCTCACAGCGGTCAACATGGAGTTTTGTGACTCCCTTCTGTCCGTGGCTGCTACTGCTACTACTAGTCACTCTCTCTACATGGTCTCTACAATCAGTATTTGTATCTTGCTTTACATAACATTTACTGCTGCTGCTGTTCACTTTATCAACACGAGAAGTCTTCACACTATCTGACCTGAAGCGTTGACTCTGTTCAGAAGTACTTTTAGACTTTGTGTCCTGTGAGGGACCTTGGCTCTGCTCAGATATACTCTTAGACTTTGAGTCCTGTGAGGGACCTTGGCTCTGTTCAGATGTACTTTTAGACTTTGTGTCCTGTGAGGGACCTTGGGTCTGCTCAGATGTACTCTTAGACTTTGAGTCCTGTGAGGAACCTTGGCTCTGTTCAGAAGTACTTTTAGACTTTGTGTCCTGTGAGGGACCTTGGCTCTGCTCAGATGTACTTTTAGACTTTGTGTCCTCAGGTGACTCATCTCTGGCCTTGTCCAGAGACTCGATACTGAGGGACCTCTGTTTGGTGTTGGTGGGGGTCCAGCAGGCCGGTGAGCTAGATGACTTATGGATCAGGAATGCCAGGTTGTCATAGTCGCTGATGCTCATGGACTCGTAGGTGCTACACCTCCAGAGGGTCTTCTGAGGCAGGGGACGTGGAATGCTGCTCCCATCGTCTGGAACTGATCGTTCTAAGGAACTTTCACGAGACAGTTTTTCTCCTCTTTCCTTCTCAACATTCACCTTTGTCTTAGTGGCATCAGGCATTTTGTTCTGTTTCTCTTTTTCTCTTGTAAGGTGATAACTGTCCTGCTGGCGTGTGTCTCTGTCAGCATTAGAAATGTCATCGTCGTTGTTGCTGGTGGATGTCGTCTTTTTGTTCAGGGAACTGTGTACTGTCATATTTTCATCACCTTCTACACTCTTGGTGGTTTCACTTCCCTGATTATTACTATGAGTTTTTCCCTTTTCTTTCTCTAAACATTCTCTGAAAAAACCACTTTCATTTTCTTGATCATGTTGTTTTGGTTTGTTTTGACTTGCTTCAGGTATTTCCTCTCCGCTGGCTGGATCACTTTCATCTGTTGGATAATGTTCACTCGCTGTACTTCTTTTAGAAGCCAATATTTGGTCAGTTGACTTTGTAGTAGATGTATTCACATCTTCTTTATCTAAGACAACACATTCTGGTAACCGAGAAACAAACTTGGGACTTTTCTTTAAGTCATAATCGCCGTTATTTACAACCCCGAGGAAAGTGCTGCTGACAGAGTCGCTGCTGGTCCTTCCATCCTGGCTGATGACAGTGATCTCCTCAGCTGTTCTCACCTTGCTGCTTTCTTCTGGAACATGAACATGAACCTTCATAAGAAGTACAGTGTCCTTGTCATCACTTCTGGTCTTAGAAGGTACCGTTGGGCCTTCATCCCTTCCTGGTAACTTGGTGACCTTTTTAACACCACAGTATTTGGGAGTTACACTGGCACTGTGTGTCATTGGAGTCCTGGCATCTTCACCTATTTGCCTCTCTTTCTCTGATGACGTTCCATTCGAGTCTTTTGTCAACCGGGCATCTACCCATGCTAAACTGGCATCCACTTTAGCCAAACATGCATCCATCTTATTCACTGTTGTTTTGTCCCCTAACTTTTCCTTAAGAGCTTCTGCGTACGTTTTGGAAGATACATCATCTGCTGCAGGCTGGTACTTCCCACACCTTATGGACGTCTCCTGGCTGTTGCTGTTTTCTTCCACTTCACTTTCTTCCTCCTCCTCAAAAACTTTCCTGTTTTCTCTCTGTGTATTTTCCTGTTCAGCCTCACTTATGTTTATCGTATCATCATTTGTTTCAAACTTCATATGCATCACAATTATCTTCCCATCTTCGCTTTTACTCTGAATGTTCTCCAATTCTTCTGCATTTTTATTTTCACTTCTTGGCTTTATCATTATTTGTGTTTTGTCATCTTGTGTATCAACCTGAGTTTCCTGGCCATCTGTTTGTCTTTCCTCAACCTCATTTACTGATGCGTGTTTACTTTCTCTCTCAGGAGACACTTTCTTCATTCTTGTTCCTGTTTCATCAAGTCCATCACTATTTTTTATTTCTTCTCGTATTTCAGCATCGGTAGTTTCATTACATGCAGTAACTACACTAAATTCACATTCTCTGGTGGTATAAATATTAGTTTTGCTTTCTGACAATGATAAACTCGACTCATAACCGCTGGTCTGTGAGTCTGACTTCTGCAGGTTTCCTTCTAAGTAGTGAACGTCAACATACAATTGATTTGGATCTAGGAAAGTGTCAATTTTAGTTGTGTCTACATCTATGTTAGTTTCTCCCATTACTAAACTTTCTCTTTTACTCACCGATTCTTCCACAAGAATATCTAGAGGTGTTTTCTGAACTGGCAAAGGGTCTCTATTTCTTTCTCTTCTTTCATGAATTTTGATTTTTTTGGCATCAACTTCACTCTCATCAATGCTTACTATAGGTGTGATGTTTAAGTTGTCTCTGTCGCCGGGCGTAGTGTTGTCTGAACCCTCACTGGAACACAACAGTGGACTTAGTCTCCTGGAGGGAACATTTGCTCTTTCATTCACATTATCTTCACTGTCAAGTTCCACCTCTTCTTCCTCCAGTATGTCTTCTATTTCATCCTCACTTTTCACTTCCTCACTTTCACTATTGTACTCTTCCTCACCTATCCCATTATCACCATCTTCATATGTATCATCTTTCATCTCAACCTCATCTTCTGTTTCTGCTTCTTCTTCATCCTTTTCTAAGTATTCTCTTTCCTCTTCTTCTTCTTCTATGTCATCTTTCCCTTCTGAATCTTCTCCAGTACTTATGTCTGTTTTCATTCTCCCAATGTTACTTCGTCTGCTTCTTTCAACCCTGGGCTGGAATGTGTTGTCAGTCCAGGGGTTGCCGGAGGTGGTCTGTGACAATTCTGTTGCTGCCTCACTTATCTCACTCGTGTCCATATCTAGAGTCTCTGTGGCCTCACTCGCTTCACTCATGTCGTCTAGATAATGTTTCTCTTGCAACTGTTCTGACATCTTGATTTCTTTGTCTTCTTGGTTGTTTTGGTTTGGCTGGTCCAATTTTTCACTCTCCTCCCACCATGGAGTGTCCCTAAAGATAACACTAGCTTGGAGTCGCTCCCCCTCACTGGCGCTGTACATGGTGCTGCTATCACTTAACAAACTGTCGTTGGCATCTTCATAATCTTCTGTGTGACTCCATTCCTCTATCTCATCACCAGAAGATTCCGTTGCACTGTCTTCATCCTGTTCCTCCTCTTCACTTTCGTAGTTCTCACTCTCAGATGACCGAGCACTGTCCAAATTTTTTTTTAGTCCGGACAGTAGAGATGAGGACTTTTCTTGGTGTAGGAGGACTTCTTCTGTCTCCCACCATGGCTTATCTTCATCCTTGAAGAATTCCTTGGCTGAGATCACTTTATTTTCCTCCTCTTCCTCCCACCAGGGCTTCTCATCTTTGAAAAGGTCTTTGACTGATATTACCTTTGCTTTCTCCTTGTCCTCCTCCTCCCACCAAGGCTTGTCCTCGTCCTTGAAGAACTCTTTGGCTGAGATTGCTTTATTTCTCTCTTCCTCCTCCTCCACCTCCCACCATGGCTTCTCATCCTTGAAGAAGTCTTTAGCTGCCACAACTTGTGGTTTCTGCAAGTCCTCCAAGGCGTCCCTCCACCAACATTCATCATCTCGGAAGAATTCCTTAGCTGAGGGAATATGAGACTTATCTTCATCGCCTCCCTCTTTGTCATCATCTTCGTCATTATCATCCTTTTCCCACCAATTACTCTCTTCCTTAAACAATTCCTTGGCTGGTATGACTTTTGGTTTGTCCTCCCAGATTTCCCAGAAAGCGGCTTGATCTTCCTCGAAGAGTTCCTTGGCAGAGATGACCTTAGGCTTTTCCTGCCAAGCGTCCAGCCAGTCATCCTCGTCTTTAAACGCCTCCTCAGCAGAGAGAACCTCGTAGGCATTGGACATTTTCCAGTAGGCATCTTGGTCGTCGTCGTCGTCCTCACTCCGTCCTTCCTCTGCTGAGGATCCCAAGACGTCGTCCTCAGTGCTATATCCATCCTAAATTAGTACACATGCATTCAGAAACTAGAGCCTCAGAAGGTGAGTTAAAACATGACAAGACGGGGCAAGTCCTAGTGTGATAGTCTTGTCTGTTGGTGCTGCCTGTAGCGGCGGCTGGTAAGTCTGACCGGCACAAGTTTAAGAAAGCCCTGATGGTTAGCCAAGGCCAAAACGAAGGACTTAAACAACATCTCTGCAGGTTATATCGTGATTTTTTGTTCAGGAAAAGCTAATGACAAATAGGAAACAAGTTATCTTAAAAATCAAATTGATACAAGTTCTAAAAAGCAACAACATTTATCCTAAAAGTTGTAAATAATGGTGGAGTGAGTTAAGATGGTGCTAGCAGACAAAATTTTCACGAAACACAAAGGGAAATTTAAAGGGACAAAACAAAAATAATGTGGAAGACAAAAAGTGAAGGAAAGGCAGAGAAAGCGGGATAAAATGGGTGTAAAAAAAAAAAATCTCACATGAGTTTCCACAGACCATTTATAATAGATCCAGGAAAAAAACCCTACTTAATGATTTGTTTTCCATTGAATGTTTCTCTGTTGTAGTTCACAGTGAAGTGCAAAAGTTCAAATAATCTTTTAGTCATTAACGAACTGGTCTCCCTTTTTTGGCGTTACTTACTTCGAAGAGTCTATAGACATCCTCGAGTGCAATGATCTTGTCATCTTCAGGTAGAGGCTCCTCCTTCTTGGCCAGGGCAGCCATTGCACGAAGGATGTCGTACAGCCCCTGCCGCTTGGCCTCCTCCCGGGGGTTGAGGCCCGTCCCCTCCACCTCCGCGAACTGGTCAGCTCCCGCCCTCACCAGTCTGACTACCTTGTCTGCGTCGTTGTGCCTCACTGCCAGGTACAAGTGCTTCAGCAGCTGTGTACACAAATATGCTAAGTGAGACAGGTGTTTCAGCTAAAGTGTGCACACTTGTTAAGTGAAACAGGTGTTTCAGCAGCTAGAAACAAGATGTTAAGTGATACAGGTGTTTCAGTTGAAGTGCACGCAAATGTTAAGTGATACAGGTGTTTCAGCAGCCAAAAACAGAAATGTTAAATGAGACGTGTTTTAACAGCTAAAACAGATGTTAAATGAGTAATGTTTCAAAAGCTGGAAACAGATATATTGAGACATGCTTCAACAGCTGGAAACATAGATGTTAAGTGATACAGGTGTTTCAGCTAAAGTGTACACAAATGTTAAGTGAGACGGGTGTTTCAGCAGCTAGAAACAAGATGTTAAGTGAGACAGGTGTTTCTGTACTGGAAGCAGCAATATTATGTAAAAGAGGTGTTTCAGCAGAGTCCATGCGTATTGGTGGAATCCAAGTATAAAGGTGGACCCGCTTACTGTCCTTCATTAAACACCTTAAGTAAAAGTAATACAATATTAGCACTCCTGTACCTCCATAAGGTTCTTTGATGGACACTGTACCTTGTTCATATGTCCAGGAACATGTATGGTCTTTTTAGTGTTCATTCCGGTAATATCTGTAATAGTGTACATTTTAAATCATATTTATTGGACTACATGTCATGTACAGTACAATACACTTGAGTGTGAGGCAACTGGCTGAGCTGACAAACACAATGTCAAGGACTCAGGACACACCACAGAACCAGTTGTAGTTATTTAAGGTTATTTACACACCGTCTGTTCTGTGTGTATTTATAAATAAGCAGAACTAGAATTTCAAACTTAATATAATTTATGAAATATCACATGCAGCTAAGGGATCATTAATACAAGGTTGCATGTTCTCTGGTAAGCATGTGTGATTTACCTTTGAACAACACTATAGCGCTCTGTTTCGGAACCACTGCATTAAGTAAACAATAAAACAACCTAAACTTTCATAATCGTAGTTTTAGTTTGAAAAATAACTTTAGAAAATTTAACATAGACCAATAACATCATACAGTACTAAGATTTTTGAATGTCGTGAAGTTAAAACAACTTGAAAATTATTTTTTTAGCTATAATACCCTTAGTTCCTGTTCTGGTCGGAACATTTTAAAAGTTCCAGTAAGTTCTGGTTCCAGATGGAACGCGATATTATGATTTTGGTGCATTCCTACTAATCAGTATTACTTTACAAGATATCCTGATGTATGACGTCATTTAGTACAGTACAAAGTTAAGTCTACGAGATTTGATGCTTGTTATCCCGTACCTCTCTCTTGCTCCACTCTCTCACAGTCACTCAACAGGTCAGTTTTTGATGAGTCTGTGTAAGCTCAACAGTAAGTTCATAGTATCTACAGTGCTCTTTCTGTCTCTCCCCATCTTTATGCCTCCCTTCACCCTTTCTCTCACCAGGTCAGAGTAGAGGAGTCCTTCCTTGTTCTTGATGTGTGTGTGAGCTTGGTGGTCCAGCAGCAGGTCAACAGTATCAGCACTGCCCTCCTTGGCTGCCCAGTGTAGTGGAGTATGACCCATCCAGTCCTGGGCGTTGATGTCTGCCCCCTCCTCCATCAATATCTGCATGATCTGTAATACACACCATCGTCTACAACAGCTGCATTATCTACATCATCATAATAATAGTAAAAAGGTAAAATAGTAAAATTCGCGGGGGTTTGGATTTCAAAATTGCGTCAAATCGTCAAATCTTCAAATATCATTTGCTTTCCAGGAGGGGGTTGGGGGCGGGGGGGGTGTACATTTTTACTCGTGTGAAAAGAAATGTATATTCCCTTTATATGTTTACCTTTAGGACAATTATTTCTTTTACCTGTATTGTATATGCAGTATGCGGATGTGTGTGTAGCCACACACACACACACACACATACACTCACACAAATAAACCCAGTGCCTCTAGGAATACGAGGGGATCCCTACACATGAACCATGCGGCGGTCGACAAAGTTAAGAAAAAAAAATTCAAGACGTGGGTTGGGTCAAATGATGAGCAGGACAGGAGGATGTATGCAAGAGCCAGAAACCAAGCAAAGATAGAATGTAGAAAGGCTGAAAAGGAGTTCCAGAGGCTGGTTGCAAGCGAGGTCAAGTCAAACCCAAAGGCGTTTTACTGGTTTTTAAAGTCGAAATTAAAAACACGAGTAGGAGTATCAGACCTGAGGCTTGAAGATGGTAGTTACGCAGATTCTGACCAGGATAAAACTGAGGCATTGAACAGCTTCTTTTCCTCGGTGTTCACGAGAGGATGCGATTAACCTTCCTGCATTTGAGGACAGACGGTTCGACACAGCACTGACCCACATTGTGTTCACAGAAGAGGGTATAAGAAATAAACTGTCAAAGCTGAAGGTCCATAAGAGTCCCGGCCCTGACATGGTGCATCCAAGGGTGCTAAGAGAGTTGTGCAACGAGCTTGCCGAGCCCCTGAAGATCCTGTATTGTAAATGCCTGGATGAACGAAAGGTCCCCAGTGATTGGAAAGTGGCTTATGCGAGTCCTATCTTCAAGAAGGGCGATCGTCACTCCACGAACAACTATAGACCGGTGAGCCTGACCAACATAATATGTAAAGTACTTGAGAGTATTATCAGAGATGCCGCGATGGAACATCTACTACGAAACAACCTTGTAAAGGATTGCCAACTCGGTTTTATGCCGGGGCGCTCCTGCTTGACACAATTGCTCAAGGTATTGGATATTTGGACCCATATTCTGGAACGGGATGGTAATATCGACAATATTTACCTAGATTTTGCCAAGGCTTTCGACAGTGTACCCCACGAAAGGCTGAAAATCAAACTGGAAGGGTACGGGATTCGGGGAAATGTCCTAGCGTGGATAAAAGACTTACTACATGACCGCAAGCAGTGTGTGGTGATTAATGGCACGAAATCATCATTCGTACCTGTCACAAGAGGGTTACCACAGGGCAGTGTATTGGGCCCGCTGTTGTTTGTTTGTTTCATAAATGACATGCCTGACGTTGTACACTCCTCCATACAAATGTTTGCCGATGACGGCAAGTTATTTCGGGAAATCAAGAACCAAGCGGACTGTGAAGAGCTGCAGAAGGACCTCTGTGGGCTCCAAGAATGGTCGAAGAAATGGCTGCTGAGATTCAATGTCACGAAGTGTAAGAGGATGCACATGGGGCGTACCAACGGTAAGGAGGCGTATCATATGTCCCAACGGGATGAAGAAACTGCACTATTTGAGACTGAATGTGAGAAGGACCTAGGTGTGTATGTTGACAATGAGCTGAAGTTCTCGAGCCATTGCGAGAAGAAGGTAAATCAGGCAAATAAATTATTGGGTCTTTTAAGAAGGTCGTTCACATATCTAGACGGTCCGTCCCTCGTAACGATCTTCAAGAGTGAAGTGCTTCCCCATCTGGAGTACTGTCACCCCGTCTGGTCCCCGAGATATGCTAGGGACTGTCAGTTGGTTGAAAATGTTCAAAGGAGGGCCACCAGACTGGTGCCTGCACTTCGGTACCTCAACTACCCTGAGCGATTTGAGCACCTGAACTTGCCTAGCTTATACTGCAGACGGGCAAGGGGCGACCTAATTGAGGTGTATAAGCATCTCAAGGGGCACTACTCAGTTGAGTGTCCTTACTTGGAGCTGGCGGGCGCTCGCCCCGCAACGGGTCATAGCTCAAGATTGAAGAACCAGCAGGTCCAGAAAACTGTGAGGGCAAACTTTTTCGGAGTGAGAGTTGTGAACTCTTAGAACAATCTACCAGAGAGTGTTGTGACGGCACCGAGTGTGAGCGCTTTAAGGCCAGACTTGACCAACACTGGAGCAGGTTCAGGTACATTCTGGAGCCGGTGCATGCCCAGTTCTTGCCAACAGTGCGTAACAGAGAAATGACCGATCGCCCAAGCGGCTAACGAGCCGTCAGTGGTGAAGAGGATAAAAGTATAAAAGTAGGAAAATCCACTCACAAATAATCAGAAACAGGACAAGAAAATGTATTAAAATGTAGAACAAATTCGGGAGTCTACCCTGAAGTCAAATCCATGCTTTGTTATTTAAGTTGGGTTGGTTGGGTTGCCATACGACAATTTTTTCACCGTAAAAATTAATGTCTCTAGAATGAATGGCATCTGAGCGCCAGTTGGGTTGGGTTGATACGCAGATCAAATATGCAAAATTTCTTTCATAGCCATCTAGCCAACCCAGCATGAAGGATGTTGGTAATTGTGGTGTAATATTATACTTTTTCACAATATGTATGTAGGATGGTGTGTGCATGTAACTGAGTAAAAATAATGAAGAAAGTTACGTATATCTACCCAAAATACGAGTTGAAAAACCATAACACCTCACAGCCATAGTTTTCTTAAAATAATATATACAGTACCAGGAAATGTGAGTAAATAAAATAATACAAATGAATAAATTAAATAAAAATACTAATGCCAAACCAGTAAATAAAAGCGAAATGAAAGTTTAACACAGTTGCCATTTGCATACGCTATCTGCTCCACCATAACGAAGATCAGCTGGGAAGCCGATTCCCTAGCAATGCTCACCACCAGCTACACTCTGCGCTCTCCTCCCATTAGGTGTTTGCTCTTAAAACAATTATTTCTTTTACTTTTTCACTATGTTTTTAGGACGGTGTGTGTGTAGGGGTTTCGTGGTAATGTTGTCTAGCACTCAGGATGGATGGAAACTCTAAGGTGGTTTTCTTGTATAATATAAGTTATATGATAGACAGTCTGGTGCTGGAGGTGCCGTGTGGTGAGGAGCTGCTCAGTAGAGACGTTCGGTGAGTAGCGTGTTGAAGGAGGTAGATGTGCAGGAGCTTGTGAGGACGCTCAGAGAAGGACAGCTGGTGGGTCGCCATGCTCGCTGGCGGGAGCGAGGACCGCCAGGCAGGCGGAGGAGAGGCGAGGGCCGCCAGGCAGCGGCGGAGGAGGTGTTGCTTGTTCAAGTAGAATGGCCAGAATGAATCTCAATGGAGAGACAGAGCTTATATACCCAGCAGCCGTGAGTCAAGCGTGAGTCACGTTGGGAAAACCCGAGAAGTAACCGGTCTTTGGCTCGGTTGCTAGGATACGGTGGCATCTGGTGACGCCCCCGCTTGGGCCGCTAGTTTGGTTGCTAGGGAAGATGGTAGCAGCTGGTGGCTGCGGCTACGCAGTTGTAGGGGAGAAGTCCACTACATGTGCATATAACCGAGTAAGAATAAATGAAGAAAGCTACAGAGATCTTCCCGAAAATAGGAGTTGAAAAAAACATAAAATCTCACAACTTGGCTCAGTAGCCTGGTGGTTTTTTTTTTTTTTTTACGGGAATTAGCCCACCCGGGCACAGGTCAAACGACCCACAACGGAGCCTGGGGGGCCGAAAAAAAACAGAACGGAAAGAAATTGAAAATATAGAAAAAAAAGGTTATACTGTATTAGTCTACACCACGAAGTTGCCGGAAAACCAGCTTTTTAAAGTGAGACAGATTGTAAGAGCATGGAAACACAGAAGAAGGCAGAGCATTCCGCAGCTTGGCTGTGTGAGGAAAGAAGGATGTACTATAACGGGTTATTCTCGTGTGACCGATATCAACAGAGAAATGATGGGCACCGCGGGCAAGACGTGTGTTACGAACCCACGGCCTTACAGGCGGTACACAGGATGCCAAATCCCCTGAACATTGCCCGTTAAAGTACCTGTAAAAGAGAGAGAGTGAAGCAACATTGCGGCGAAGAGAAAGGGGAGAGAGATTGTCGACTAAAGGAGGAGAGCTAATATGACGAAATGCCTTGGATTCCACCCTATCTATTAGTTGGACAGAAGAAGAGCCACCCGAGATATGAGAGCAGTACTCCAAGTTAGGACGAATGAATCCCTTATATACTTGGAGCAACTGCTCAGGAGTGAAGTAGCTACGGCATCTGTACAGCATTCCCAACTTTCGGGAGGCAGCTTTAGTTATACTAAGGATGTGTGATTTCCAGGACATATTGGAGGAAATGGTGAGGCCTAACATATTTATTTCAGAATTTGGGAGGATGATAGCGTCCTGAAATGTAATTGGTGGGAGATCGTCTACTTTACAAAGTGTAATTGGTAAATATTGAGTTTTGTAACTATTGAACTTAACCAAGTTTGTATCTCCCCATTCAGAGATGCTGCACAGATCCGCGTTGATAGAAGTAATGATATCAGTTCTAGAAACAGATCTATGTAGTTTGAGAGTTAGGAGGAAGGGGAAAATGTGAGGAAGAGTGAAGAGTAGAATCATCGGCGTAAGAATGGATAGAATTAGTTGTAGTGTGAAGTAAATCATTGATAAAAAGAAGAAAGAGAGTTGGTGAAAGAACAGAACCCTGTGGGACGCCACTATTGGTAGAGAAAGAGCGAGAAATCGATCCCTCGACAACAACTGCCATGGATCGATTCTCAAGGAAGCTAGAGATGAGAGAACAAAGTGGGGGAGAGAAACCAAAAGAGGGAAGTTTAGATAGCAAAGACTTGTGCCATACCCTGTCAAATGCTTTGGAGATGTCGAGGGCCACGACAAAAGTTTCCCCATAATCCCTAAGAGAGGATGACCAAAGA